CTCGCCTCAACCGCCCACAGCAGCGAAGCCCCGTGGGATCTGTGTCCCCCGGCTCCCAGGGGAGTGCAGGGAGCCCCCCACTCTGCTCCTGGGAGCCAGGAACAAGCAACAACCCATGAGGAATTGCTCCCCAGGAAGCTCTCTGCTTGCAGAGGGAGGGGGCAGGAAATTAAGCCCCAGCTAATGAAGCACTGATAGGGAGCAAATGTGCAGGCAGCTCTCGCCCCTGCAGCCCGGGCAATACCAGGCAGCTGCCAGGCCACGAGCGGGCGGCATCGGCCCCACACGGCCCCCTCCCCAAAATCCTCTGCACGTCATCCCCCCCGCTGCGCCTACCGCCGGAGTCGTAGGCGAGGAAGTCGGCGAACTCCCGCGCCAGGCTCTCGTCGCTGGCGAAGGCGCAGATGCAGGCGAAGAAGTGAATGCAGCGTGGTGGCGGCGGCACCGCCTCCTCCTCGGCCGGGCCGCCCTTGCCGGGCTTCAGAGCCTGGCAGGAGCAGGAGAACCTGTGGTCCGCCAGCGTCTTCGCGCTCATTTTCTGGGCGAAGGAGGCGTGGAGGTAGCCGAGGCTGTGCTTCTGGCTGGCCTTGCACTTCACCACCAGGATGTTCTTGGTGATCCGCTGCACCAGCGGCCCCGTGGGCTCAGTCGCCAGCTGCCATATGGTTTGTTTGGTTTCGGGAGAAGCCTGCATGGAGTTGAGCACCGAGCTTTTTAGGGTGAGCGGGGTGGCCTCGGTCTGGCAGTTCAGGGCCAGCTTGACGTGCTGGCACTGGTTCTCCACCACGCCTTGCGCGGCCGCTTTCAAACACGACGGCACGTAGCAGCGGCCGGAGCTGAGCTGCGTGATGATGGTCCCGTCCACCGTCTGGATGGCCGTCTCCGAGACCCCCAGCTCCACAAAGCACCGGTAATCCGGTCCCCGGTCCCTCTGCCGCACCGAATAAACCTGTAAATCGGAGCCGGTGATGATCTTGACGGCGTCGACGCTGGGCTGCTTGCGCGTGCCGTAGCGGAAGACGGTCCCGCAGTTCTTGTTCTTGCAGCTCAGGCCTCGGGTGCCGTTGTAGGTGCCGCAGCGGGGACATTTTCGGATGCCCCGGAGCGTGGCCTTCCCCAAGTCGGACAGGAAGGAGGGGACTTTGGTCCTCACCGAGGCCGGCTCCATCCTCCGGGGAACCTGGAAGGGCAGAGATCGGGGTGGGGGAGGTGAGTTAAAAGCCTGGGGAGGCGGACGGACAGACAGACAGGAGGGACAGCGGGGACGCAGCGCTCTGCTGGGGACACCCACGGGTCCCTCCGCAGGAGGCGGTGCCCGTCCTCAGTCCCCAACCGCGGCAGAGAGGGAGGGGAGAAGGAAAGAGAGGGGGAAGTGACCAGCGGGTCCCTGCTGAGGAAACCGGGGCTAAAAAGAGAGATTTTGGCACGTGTGTGCTCATGGCCCAGGCCACGGCGTCGCCCCCCAGGGGTAAATAAAATGAAATAAAGGATGTGGGACGTAAATAAAGCTGGGCGGCCTGCCCACCATTGCAGGGGGATGCGTGGGCAAGGGGAGCAGCAAGCCCAGCACAGCCGCTCTGGGGGACACCGAATTGGGAATCCACGGCCCGAGGCAGCAACGACGGGAAAGGAAACCCTGCGTGGCCAGGACTGGAATGGGGCGATTTCCCTGTCCCCCGTCAGATCCACCCAGCTCA